AGTATTTCGTGCGCACGTTAAACTTATTGCGTGGCCACGAAATACTACTTTGTGGCCACAATTAAACATTTTTTTTGACCATGTCATCAGAGGGGCTCCGTACCTTTGAATGCAGCCATAAACGGCGCATGGTGACTTTCAGTGTAAACTTCAGCACTGAACCACAATCTGTCAGATAACCTGAGCATGAAACGAGAGGGGGAGGTACACACTTTCCTAAGACCCGCCCCCTTCTTCTTCTGATTGGATAATGCTGTTAGTTTCACAGAGCTCCTTTACTACCATTGGCTGACAAACGCAAGAGGGATTTAGGTTATCTTTTTTTCATTTATTTACAGTCAACTTATTTTTGAGCGATGTTTTTTTACCCACGGGCAATTGCTAGGAGCGGGAAAACCAGCCTGGTGCAGGATACTTTAATCCCTGCAGTCTACATTCAAAATAAGAGAAAAACTATTATTTTAGGTGCATATTATCTAATTATCTTATTTTAGAAGCACATTTCATTGGAAAAGCATTTTATTTACCCGCTCAAATTAAAGGTAAATACTTAATTTCAGACATTTTCAGGTATTTGTTGGATGTTTCTGCTAACGCTGCCCTCGCTGACCTTTATCGCGGTCATACTGCAGATCCTCGGTGGAGTACGGGCTGCCGTCATGCGATCCTGGGGGGCAGGCTGGCGAGGGACACGGCGACAGGCTGGAGCAGCTGCTGGAGCGCCCCGGGGCCGACGGAGTCTGGGTGTCCACGCCGCGAGAGCTGCTGCTGCGCTGCTGGGGAGGGAAGGGCGCCCGGCGGCCATCGGGAACCTCCAGAGACTGCAGAGGGACGGGAAGAGAATGAGAGGCGGGTCTGAGAGGCGGGAAGGCGGCGAGCAGACACAGGAAGCACCTTCAGCTCCTCCTTGTCTCCGTTGTCTTTGATGAAGACCTTCTCCAGCTCGTGGTTGATGCCCTCCATGCTGCTGGGCACCCTGGAGATGGAGGGCTTTGGCACCGTGATGTTGGTCAGCGGCATCTGGGCCGACTTCGACATGGAAAACCGCTGCAGCACAGAAAGACAGGAGAGGATTTAAAACCCTGAACCCGCCCCCGATGGAGGCGGAGCCAGAACCGTTACTGTTCCTCACAGATCCAGGAGGAACAATCTGTCTACGGTCAGGTAAAGGCAGTATCATGCTGAGGGACGGGGAGGCTGCTCAGAGCGGATGGAATCCAGAACCATCCAGAATGACCTGAGACCGGCTGTAACAGAACCACCCTTGACCTCCAGGAGATCCGACAGGTGGTTCAGATCACAGCAGAACGGTCTAGTCAAAGTAAGAGCTAAGCAAACATTTTCAGCAGGACAGAACTGAACACAAAACTCTGGCCCAGTTAAAGAGAACCAAACAGAACTCTGCGCTTCCTGACAGCGACGGCTCAACAGGAGCAGCGCCAAGGAGGCGGAGCTTCAGGGGCAGGTGCAGATACCTGAATGAGTCCGATGGTTCTGGACAGGACCGAGGGAGGAAGCTTCCGGTCTTCCTCTGCAGCTTCCTTCTCCTTCCCTGGATCCGAGCTGCTGATCTCTGCAGGCGGCTGGAAGCCAAAGAACAGAACAGAAGAGTCCGGATGAGACGGCTGGAAGGTGAGTTCATGGCGGAACGCGGCAGACTGGGAGGACAAAAGCCCGCTTACTGAACCCCCATCCTTTCTCATCCATCAGGTCCATTTTTTCATTGACTCGTGTTCCGGCCGGCCGGAGTTTTTGATAAATGCCCCAGAAAAGGGCGATTTAAAGTCATCATCCTCATCATCAAGAGTTCTGCTGGTCCAGAACACCCAGATGGACCTGCAGGTGTTCTGAAGCGACGCCTCAGACAGACATTAGGAGAATCACAGATGTCCAACGGTCCGGTTCGTCTTTAGGTCCAATTCACAGACATCCAAACATCCCCTTTGGGAGCAGAGGCGCCCCCTAATGGCAGCCCACTGCTCCCCAGGGGGAGGGGTTAAATGCAGAGCTACATTTCTCCACCGTGAGATAATTCAATTATTGTTAGTAGGAATGTTTCACTCAGCAGGGGGTGTCATGCCAGTAAATGTCCACTGGGTGTCACTGTTTCCACAGCCTGCAGAATGAGCGGCTCTTTATGCAAACTAAGCGGCCTGGTGACCAGGGGGCCCCAAATAGGAGGCCCCCTGGCATAGGCGGATCTACTGGGGTGGCATAGGGTGGCAAATGCCACCCTAAATGACAGCCTT